CAACAGCAACAGCAACAGAAACGGCAACGGCAACAACGGCAACAGCAACAGCAACAGCAACAACAACAATGCCAACAACGACAACAACTTCAACCACAACGACGACGACGACAACAACGACAACTAACAACGACAACGACAACGACAACGACAGCAACAACAGCAACATCAGCAACAACGACAAGAACAGCAAACACAACAACCACAACAATAGCAACAACAGGAGCAGCAGCAACAATAGCAACAGCAACAGCAACAGCAACAAAATGCTAGTACTAGTATAGGCTTGCTGCTACTGCTACCGCTGCTGCCACTGCCTGTTCCTGCTAGTGACTGTGACCGCAACTCATAACTGCGAGAAGCGCATTCACTATGATGATGATGATGATGATGATGATGATGATGATGATGATGATAATGATGATGATTGCAGCATCTTGCAGCATTGTGTGTATGTGCGCATACTTCTATGCAAACACTACTACATGCCATGGCTACTGGTGCTACATGTGGCTGCTAATACCACGCCTGGTAGGGCCGAAAGCCACCCTTTCTTACGACCACTGCTTTGTACTCCGGCTGCTCATCACTATGCTTTGACCATGTACATGCTGTTCTTTGTACGACTACCAATCGCCGCTGACTACTGCTGACGCTACTGGTAATTAGTGCGGGAAGAACACCACGCCACCACCCCTGTTCCTGTTGCCCACCACTGCTCTTGCTGCCAGTATTATCGGGTAAAAGAGTTGCTGTTGACACTGAAATGCACCCCGGGCAGCTTGTCGAAGCTGTACTCGCACATCCGGACCAAGGAGTCTCCAGCACCGGCCATCGCGGAGGCCTGCAACTGGAGACTTTAGAGGGGGCCTTTAAGCAACAGTACCCGCTAATTATGCTAGATACGGTCTCCAATGCTGTTTGCACACTTGGAGCTGATGGTTGGTGACAGGTGCTCCTCAGGGAGGTCATGTGACTCCTCAGTGCCGAAGGCGAAGGCTCAGCTTCTGAGCCGCGACCTTCAGGTTCATCAAGGCCCAATGTGTCATGACAATGCCAATACTTCAATACTTCCCAATGCCACTGAGATTCAAGCCTGACCTGACCATGGCGGGATCTTGCTGTGAAATGTTCAAGGAAGCCCGTGCTCTCGTTTCTCCTTCTGAACACGCATTGCGTCCTACAGCCCCAACCAAGAAAGCGAAACCCGCAAAACCCGTTTACCCGCATCCGCCCTGCCCGTGTCCCTAAATGCCTGGCTCGGCTGCGAGGGCAGCGCTCTGCAAGCACTGCGGGTGTCCACACCACCATAGGTGCAGCCCCACGAGGACTTACCTGGTCTGGTGAACTCGACACGTTGAGCCGCAGGAATGATAGGAGTCCTGGATCCCAAACTTTAACTTGCATCCGGCCTCCCGGAAAGACGCTGCCAGCGCCACCGGCACAGTTGTTGAACCTTGCATTTGACTTGGAGCTGCATGTGGAGCCGTGGCATAAACAAACCCCAGGGGGGGGGACCTGGCTGACCCTGCGCGGCTGGCACGCATGCAGGAGTGGTCCAACATGTTCCCCGATGTCGAAGCAACTCGTCCTTGAGGATAACATCAAAACATGCCAAGAATAGGCCCAAATGACGTGCGAAGCCCTTTGCCCTCGCGCAAACGATGCAGCGAAAAGATCCTAAAGAGGATAACGCATATTTTTCTGTCTAACAGCAGCTGCATCTGTGCAACCATGCTACCACTTGCCTTGCCGTTCTTGGGTCGTACGACACTCAGGTGTGTCCCGGCCATAGCTCCCATGACAGATTCCGTCGCAGATTCCAGCTCCGATCACTGAGACCCGATTTCGAGAGTCCCAAGCCACTTCACACTCGAGGTAGTTTGTGCGTGAGACTGTGAGATCCCGAGCTCTCAAGATTCTCATTCTAGTGCGGGCACGACGACCTGGAGCTTTTGAGAGACACGCGCGGCAGCTGCCATGAGCTGCCAAGGAGCGCTCCAGTGCCGCCTGCTCCCATCTGGAGGTCGAACTGCTTGCCATCGACATCCCAGCCTGGCAGGGACACGACGCAATTGAGATGCAAGCATACGTCGCGCAGATTTTGCTGGCGTGTGGCTTTGCAACATGACGAAACCACACCGCGGGAACCAATGTTGCCCTGTAGGCGCAAGCCTTTACACCATTTCTGTTGGCCAGACTTGCTAAGGTTGCATGCTTCCCCTGCAACGCACAGTCGAATCCGGATTATACTTTTGCTCACTGTCCACTTTCTCGGACCTCCTTAGATGGCATCCGCTTCGATATCCCCAACCCGACCCAAACATGCAGCCTGCAAAGCCGAAAGCACAGACCATAGCAGCATGATCCCCCCAGTTGCGCGGCACCTGTGTTGACGGACTGTGCGATAATGTCCCTGTCCACACCTTCAACCTGCTTGCAGGCAATGCTTGGCTTGAAGCTTTGAGTCTAGGAGTCCAGCGATCAAAAGAACATCGTAGTTCGACGACTTGACCGTGTCATGGCTAAATGCACCCCGGCAACTCGTCTCGCCGCAGTCGTATACCCTTTACAACTTAGCCCGCCTTGAGCCGGTAGCAGGCGCCAAGTCCCCGCTGGGGATCGGTGGTTGTGCCATAGGTGCCTACGCCGAAATAGACCTGGTCTTGCTTGCTCAGGGGCACTCGGGAGTTTTGTTCAGTGCTCGGTCCGAGTGAACCGCCAGACGACAGCCCTCATGCGTCAGCAGCTTCTGTGCATGTACAAACCGAAGCGTGACCAAGAGCTGCCTTCTCGCCCGTCTGCTGCTGGAACTGAGCTTCCCCGGAGCGCATCGCCGCGCTGCCGAACGTCCAGTCCTGGAAGAGAATTGCAACTTCAGGGTCTGCATAGCTTTCCTCACTTTCAATTTGTAGAAAGCAGTCATTCTTGCAGCAATGTCGGTTCACTGCAGGCAATCTCTAGATTTCTGCCGAGGCCTTATATAGGTCCTTGAACCTTCTCCTGTCCTTCACGACTCAAAAGAGCATATGGGCGGATTTTGGCGGTGGATTCTGCCCATCCAGAAATTCAAAACTCGTTCTGAAGGATTTACCGAACTTGATTGCTCGGTAGACTTAGGTGACTGGCCTGGAATGCATTCGCTGGGTTTTACATTGAAGAGCGGTCGGAGCTGGAGTTTAGGTGCAGCGGTCAGGGCTTGGGGAGGAAGCTATACATAACTATCCGCCGACCCCTGCGGGGGCGGTGCCCAGAAGTTGTGTTCCGCAGTGTGGCTTTGATCGCTGGTTTTGAGTTTGACAGCACCCCCGCCTGGTTCCACTCCGCCCCCGGGCCCTCCGCAACACCTCGCCCCTGC